TCAAGGTTGTAATAATCTTTTTTATTATAATTTTTTAATTTTTCAATCCAAAACGATGCCGTTTTAAGAGCGAATATAGATAATTTATCTAAATTCATGGTAAAAATATTAAAACCAATTATAATATCTATTATGGGTAGTAAAATATTACTGAAGTTTTTAAAAATTTATAAATTTTGACTTTGTAAATAAAACCTATAAATAGCTGTGAAATTACGCTGTTTTGTGAACTTCTTCGTTGCAGCTCACAAAAGATTGCAAATACTATTTTCATGATCATTCTCTTTGTCAGGCGGGTCCAGGAAGCTCGTGGCGGGGGACCACCACCAATGAGCTAAGTTACTCCAAGTACACCGAGTGGATCCGACACCATATCTCAACCCAAAACCTTAAGGCATTGGGTTCATGGGTCCCTTCCACTTATATACTCTTCACTTAGCTCATTACCAACCAATGTGGGACTCATCACACTTGAATATCCCAACAATCTCCCCCTCAAGTGTGAAACCCACCATTGGTATGCTCCCCCTCAACCGAGTACCCGAAGAGCAAAGTACTCGACCCGCCTCCTAGCCAATCACCAGGCTAGCTCGTGCCCAACCCGGCTCTGATACCACTGTTGGGAACTCAGTTTCCTCAGATCGGCTCAGGGACCTTTGTGCGGAAGTCAATCAACAAGATCCTGATCTCGGATCTCGGCAATACCTCGGCCTGAACTTCACCAGGTCGGGCAGCGCAGCGGAAAAACAAAACGAAAACAGGGGAGGGAGAGAAGAAGAACACAACCAGATTTAACGTGGAAAAACCTTCTTCAATGAAGAAGTAAAAACCCACGAGACCTAGTCCAGATCAAAAATCCACTACGAAAATAATGGTTACAAATAATCAGAATCACCAATGTGGTGGTTAACTCAACCTCTCTAACAATGGTGATAATCAAACTACCCTAGAGACGTTTCACTCAAACTCTCTCTAGAGATCTCTCAAATGCAAATCATGAAGCTTTGCTCAAACAAAAAAATAATTATCTCTCAAATTTCCTCTCTCATTCTCTTAACCTAGCCTCCACCCACAACTAATGAATATATAGAGGAGATGAGATCTAGGGTTAGAGTTTTTAGGAAACCCCTCAATGGGCTTGAGCTTAGCATTGAAGGAGGAAACCCAACAAATCTCCCCCTCCGACTTCAATGCGTCGGCTTCAGCATCAACCTGGCTCCTTCACAGCAGTCTTCAAATTTTCTTGTTGGAACCAGCTTCGTCATCATGTCGGACCAATTTTGGTCAGTGTGCACTTTGACGAGTTCGAGCTCTCTACCTTCCACCACATCCCGGATCCAGTGATACCTTACATCAATATGCTTAGTGCGGGAGTGATAGGTCGAATTCTTCGCAAGATGGATTGCGCTTTGATTGTCACAACCCAGCTCATACTTGTAATGATCATGGTCGAGTTCCAAGAGGAACTTCTTCATCCACAGCATCTCTTTGCTTGCCTCAGTAGCGGTAATGTACTCAGCCTCAGTTGTCGATAGTGCAACACATTTCTGAAGTCTTGATTGCTAAGAGACAGCTCCTCTGGCAAATCTCATCATGTATCCCGTCGTCGATTTTCTTGAGTTGGAATCTCCCCCTAAATCAAAATCTAAGTAGCTTTGCAACTCGGCTTTGCCTTCTCCAAATCGGAGACATAAGTCGGTCGTACCTCGGAGGTACTTGAAGATCCACTTCACTGCTTCCCAGTGTTCTTTGCCGGGGTTTGACAGATACCGGCTTACCATTCCAACAGCATACATCAAGTCGGGTCTAGTGCAAACCATCGCATACATCAAGCTTCTGATGGCGGATTGATACGGGACCTTCATCATCTCATCTTTGTCTTTATCAGATCTCGGACATTGCTTCTGGTTCAGCTTTATGTGTCCGACTAGGGGGGTGCTCACTGTTTTGGCTTTGTCCATGCTAAATCTCTTCAGAATCTTCTCAATATATTTCTCTTGACTCAGCCACAGTAGCTTCTTTTGTCTATCTCGGATGATCTTGATTCCGAGAATCTACTTTGCAGGGCCGAGGTCCTTCATTGTGAAGGACAAGCTCAACGCCTTCTTCAGGGCGGCTATCCTCGATTTGTCTTTCCCTACAATAAGCATGTCGTCAACATATAACAACAAAATCAAAAAATCTCCAGCCTCATACCTCTTCACAAATACACAGTGGTCGGCCTCTGTCTTCTCAAACTTATGATCATTCATTGATGACCATTCCCGCAAAGTGTGGGTATATTTGTTGAAGTCTAAAGATCAGGTACTCCAATCCTTTAAAGAATTCCATGCTATGGTTAAAAGGGAGACTTGCAAGAAATTGAAGGTGGTCCGATCTGATAATGGTGGTGAGTATTGCGGCCCTTTTGATGCATACTGCAGAGCGGCCGGGATCAGACTTGAGAAGACACCCCCCAAGATACCTCAGCTGAACGGACTGGCTGAGCGGATGAACAAAACTATTGAAGAAAAGGTCCGAAGCATGTTATCCAATGCCGGATTGCCGAAATCATTCTGGGGAGAAGCCGTCAAAACTGCTGTTGACATGATCAACCTCTCACCATCACGGCCACTTGAAGGAGAAATTCTAGAATAAGTCTGGACAGGTCAAAAAGCGACCTACAATCAATTGAAGGTGTTTGGATGCCGAGCTTTCGTGCATATCCCTAAAGATGTCAGGCGGGTCCAGGGAAAGCCTGTGGCGGGGGGCCACCACCAATGGGCTAAGTTACTCCAAGTACACCGAGTGGATCCGACACCATGTCTCAACCCAAAACCTTAAGGCATTGGGTTCATGGGTCCCTTCCACTTATATACTCTTCACTTAGCTCATTACCAACCAATGTGGGACTCATCACACTTGAATATCCCAACACTCTTCAGCCCCTTCCTTTGCTTATTTCATTTGTTGCTTTATTTTGTTTTATTCCTCTGAAGCCTTTTTTTTTGTTCTGCAGATTGCTGAGGAAGCAGTTTGACCAAAGAAATGTCATTTTCTATTTTTTCAGACCTTATATGTTCAAAGTTTGAGTAAATAATATACTGCCACTTCAGGTACGAACCTTTTGGAGGACCATTTTCACTCAGCCTCAGGCGAATATTATGTTATAAAACTAATGATAAAAACAAATATACAAGTAAGAACAATAAACTAAATAATTGTACATTAATATCAATACTTATTTGTATCAGCATTCTGAACATACCAATTGAGTTTATCAATAATCTGCAAACGAAAAAACCATTCTTTAAGTAATGCTTGATGGATGTAATTATTGTGGGACAGCTAAGAAAGAAATCCATTTAGCCACAACAAATAGTTATTCATATCAAATGTGATGAGAATAATCACTTTCCAAATGACCTTCCTGTTCTGTCTAAGACAGAGATGTCCAGTTGGTGGCTGGTATATTTTATGTAGGATCTATGTGTCCTTTTTTAGGTATCTATGAATGAGATACCCTTGATGGTAGGCTGATCACTATGCACAATAATAACCGACATAGTAAAGACGTGGGGTGTGTGCACAGTGACAAGCTAGCTAAGAGAGAGGGTTTTTCGCGTGTGTACCTTATTAGTTTAACCCCTTATTTATAAATGGGTTACCTGAATGAGTGTACTTCTGGGCCTCTTAGGAATATTGGGGGCCCAAGTCCAACTGCTTAGCTGTCTGGATAGGATCGTCATCAATAGGAGATTCCTTTCCTTTTGTGTTGTCCTTTATTGGTCCTTCTAGAATATGGGCTTTTATCAGGTCCATAACAGTTGCCCCCCAGCCCGGTAGTTTGGTTGTCCAGGCTGCCGGGATGTAATAACAGTAATCTCTTCATTTTATTCCGCAAGTCTGATTTCTTATCAAAACTTGGATGTGTTGCTTTCTTAGCAATAATTTTGATTTCTTCGCAAGAACTTGAGAATCCAAGGGCGTCCCCCTATCTTCCAAGATTATTTACCTCAGCTAGAACTCACGCTCTTGCTATTTTTGCAAGACGGGTTCAAATACATCGGCGTTGTAGGCCGGGCTAGAACTCCCAATCTTGCCCTCAGGCAAGAGGGTTCAAATACCTCGACGTTGTAGGCCGGGCTAGAACTCCCAATCTTGCCCGTAGGCATGAGGGTTCAAATACCTCGACGTTATTGGCCGGGCTAGAACTCGCAATCTTGCCCGTAGGCAAGAGGGTTCAAATACCTCGACATTGTAGGTCGGGCTAGAACTCGCAATCTTGCCCGTAGGCAAGAGGGTTCAAATACCTCGACGTTATTGGCCGGGTTAGAATATCATGTTATTTTTTTTGAAAGCATAGGGAATGTCTATGTCATGCTACTAGTCTGTATATGTTGTAGTGATGCATGCTCAGGTCTATGTTACTTGTTTAATTGCATCTCTTTTGTCTATTTGATGTAATTATTTAAGTAACATTTTGGACATTATATAGAGATCATATTACTATGAGATATCTTAGGTCGTGAATGGTTTTATTCATTTTGTGGCATGTTTAGTATATTGATAAGTTGTTAATCAGGTGAAAATTTCTAGGGTGAGAATTAATCCCAATGGTCCGAAAAATAGACGGAATGCCATCCGCGAAATGTAAAATGAGTAGATATGGTTGCAACACGTAAGGAAAAAGGAAAAAGTTAACCACGAACTTCCGCATTTAATAAGTTAAAATGTGATGCGATTAATATCATATGAATATTAATTAACCGGCTACAGACGACACGTTACAGACAACACAGACTCACATAACATAACTGCAAACATAATAAATAGCTGCTAATGTTTTGCATCATAGAAATTAAAAATAAAAATAAAATCTAATTAGCCTTTTATTTAAGATATTGATAATATAAGTCTTCATGCCCATATAAGGCTCCAAATGAGAGATCGTTAGCTGGTCTATTTTAATGAATCCTCTCAAGCATCTTTGTCTTTCCACCAAAGTAATCCAGTAATCTTCAGGTCCCCGGAGAAGTTTTAGCACCATTCTTCATCCTATTATCTTGGAACATTGAGGGAGGAGAAGTTGGTCGAGTACTATTATTGTCGAACTTTGAGGGAAGAGGAGAACTTGTTTGAGTGCTATTATTGTCGAATTTTGAAGGAAGAGGAGAAACTGCTGGTTGAGTTCTATTATTTTCAAACGGAGGAGGAGAAATTGCTGGTTGAGTACTGTTATTTTCTAAGGGAGGAGGAGAAACTGCTGGTTGAGTACTGTTATTTTCTAAGGGAGAAGGAGAAACTGCTGGTTGAGTACTATTATTTTCAAAGGGAGGAGAAACTGCTGGTGCAGTACTATTATTTTCAAAGGGAGGAGAACCTGCTGGTGCAGTACTATTATCTGCCAACATTGAGGGATGAAAACCTGGTTGAGTTGAAATATCATCCAACTTTGAGGGACGAGAACCAAATTGAGTACTATAATGCCTCTTTACAGTTCCAGTTGCAGCTCCATGTTTGGTTCCACCAGGAGTTAGGTAGAAAACCCTGTCAGTTTCAGAATCTAGCAAGCCAAAGACGGTTTGGTCAATTTCGTTGTTATATTAAGAGCAGCTATAGTATACTATCATTCAATGCATATACTAGGATTCATATTTTAATTTCTTTAAGTCGTTAATCCTAACTAATATATATATAAAATTCAATTTGAATCGTAATTTCTTTGGTATATGTGATAATCACGCCTTCGCTTTTCTATAATTCAATTTGCATCATTTTGGAAATAAATATCTGACATACACCAAATTAGTAGAATCTCCATTAAAATACTCCTAGTGTGTTAAAAAGCCAATATTCACGGTAAGTTATAAATAATAGTAAGTTATCAAGACCACGGCGTCTCACTAGTTAGAATACGGGTAATCATTTTCCATACATGTCTTTTCACTGCTCCCTCGGAACCGTACGGCCCTCACGAAACCTCCTATATGCCCATCCAATGCATTATTCTTCTCTGTAATAACAACAAATACATGTAAAAACATAGAGGGAAAAATTTGTGCACTTATGGCAAAAAAATTTATAACCCTCACACTATATATTTCGGAGAATATATAAAATAATTTTTTAAATGATTTTAATTTTATTTAAATTTCAAAAGTTACATTATAAAGTACATATTGTGTAGTAGGCATAAAAGTTAAAACGAAAAACATATTATCTCAATCTCCAACGGTAGCTCAGTTGGCAACTGAGCTGTCAAGGATTTGCTTGAGTCAAGGGTTTAAACTTTGCTTCAAGCATATTCTTGGAAAAATTTTGGAGGCCAGAGGATATGTTTTCCTCCTTGATTAAGGGATTAGTCTCATCTTTCCTGGGGATTAGTCTCATCCTTCCTAACAAAGCTCAATGCACCCGTTGTTCTAATGAGGGGCTAGCCTACAAGACCGTACCTCGAGGGCAAGGTGACCGAAAGAGGTTGAACGAGGATACCTCCAGGTTATATACAAAAAAAAAAAAAAAAAACATATTATCCCAATATGCATAATACATCTTTTTTGTATGTGTGTACATTAATGCATCATAATCTTACTTATACATTAGTTTACCATAACGTACTTATTTCACTTCTGTGTTTTGGGTTTTTTCTCATTAATTTATGGATGATATTTTAGTATAAAAAAGCAAATGGTGTAGAGAACCATGTATAACCCTTAAAATAAGTAAAGTATTACCCTCTCTATAAATAGTACACAAATATAAAGAAGAATGACTCACCGGGACGAGTAACCGTAGCCTCAGGCAATTTATGAGCAAAAACTTGAGAAAAGAGAAAGATGACAAAAAGCCCAAGACAAAGGGACAGATATGACTTCGAGCAAGCCATACAACGTCTTGGCAAAATGCAATGCAAGTGAAAATACTAATAGAGACAATGCTTGAGAAACAATAACGTAGTCCCATTTTATAGGGCTTAGAACACAATTAAAAGAACAAGAAAATGGCCTATTTATGGTGCCAAGAGTCAAGTTGAAAACGAAAATATGGTCGAAGCAACTCTATAATGAAATATAAGTGTATTAACCCAAACATCAATATTGAATACGCAAGGCTCATTCATATTATTTGTATAGAGTTCAGAAATTTCGGTCGAATGGAACTTGAAGGCCTGCTCCCTCTTTCAAATGAAAAGTGAAACTCAAATGTGTAGTATATTAAGTTGGGAGCTTCAACTTGTTCACTCTTCAACAAACTTATTCGCTATTTTCTAAAATGTCATTTATTAAATACATGAAACATTCGATTGATTTATTGAATTATTTACTCAAATGAATTATTTAACAATAAAGATGATTTGAATATATGTTTTCAATCTTAAAAAAAAAAAAGGAAAAAAAAGGCATAAAAAGCGAGCATATGCTTTTGTATATAAGATGAGAAAGAATATATATTTTATATTAAAAAACAATTAAATAAATTTTATAAAAATATACCGCTGACACTTAGAGGTTTAAAACGATGTAAAATAACCTTAGTTTTTATAAAAAAAATAAAAAGTATAAAATAACACCCGATTCTAAGAACAAAGCTGCATAAATCTTTTAAAAACGTTTGAAATTTATATGAATTCGAATTTCAGATTTTTTATAAACAGAAAAATGTATGTCATTTTTTTAACAAATCATAAAAACTTCATAAAAAAAAAAGATATAGATATAGAATGATGTCTACAAATTCTTATAAATATTTTTTAAGTAATAACAGAGATGCTCTACGAATTACAACATCAAAACCTAGAAATATCAATTATTTTATAAGGATACATTTTTTTATGAAAATAGTTTAGTTTTTTATTAAAAATATATTGTTTGATCATGTCATAAAAATAATGTGTAATTATATTTTATTTAATTCTTCTACCTCTTAATTTTAACATTAAGATTAAACACTTTTGTTTATCAAATATATTACTATCCTTATTATATATGTGCTTACCTCTATTATTATTATTTTATTTCTCCACCTTTCTTAATTAACCAACTTAATCCGGAATGAGCCATATAAGGAATTATTTACTCAATTCCTAAGACTTAAACTGAAGACAATTGAACGAACAAGCTTATTTCCTCTAGAACTCGTTACCTCTGCATCTTTTGCTAAATAAATGTCCCATCAGTCCTCGCTAATGAATCATCAACATTTCATTCATCTGGTAGGGACCAGAGATTATTTTATTCATATAAAATTGTACATGAGACGCGGAAGAATTGCACCAACTCGACCCCTTTTCGTGAATTTTCTTATTAGAGAAAACATAATTTTCTTTCAACAACTTATTTTTCACCAAAATACATAGTTAATCTACAGACATACGAAATGAATGAGGGTTAAATACAATAACAGTAACACAGCTAACGTCAGGCAGCGATAGAAATGCCAAGTGAAATGCAATTATCCAACAATAAATACATACAGATCCACGCTTAGGAAACACTGAATCATTCATGAGATCCCGAAATCAAATTCTCTCCAGCAGCCAATTTCTGATCCATAATCCATATTATCTAACTTACAAGAAGCTACATCTGTTCACAGACAGACTTATTCGCCCTCACTCAATATAGGTACTATGAGTGGTTTCATCTGTGCCAGATAAACAATCGCCCACCTGATAGAACAAAGGAAAGACCAAAGTGAGCTTATTGACAAACAAAGACATGATATGGCTTTTACCAATTAGAATGACAACTGAATCAATCCGAAATATTTTCATAAATTAACAGATCGCTCAAGGCACATTTAGATCTTTGGAAATTAGGTCACTGGAAGATCAAAATGAAGATGGACATATAGAGATAGAAAACTTTGTAATGAACTATAAAAACTAATAACAATAATAATTAAATAATTAATATATGATCATTCCAGCCAAAGCTACCCCCGCCAAAAAAAGAAGAAGAAAAAAGAATCTTTTGGACATACTATCAGACAGCGTTTGTTCCATGTAATGAGGTACTTAACATCTCTCTACTCATGCTCATCAAATTTCAGCACAGGCTCATTGTGGTTGAGGAAATATGCGTAATGATGAACATATAGAATGCACATGGTGGCATAATGGCCTCCTTGTGCCACACATTTAGGATATACAATTTTCTCTTGTAAAACCACACATTTAGAATGCACATACAGCATATAAAAAACACAATTGAGTAGTTCTATCAATGGAAAAAATAATTTTCAAATTAACTACAGATTCATAGACTATTAGTTGGACACATTTTCAGTTATTAGCATCACAATAGTGACAATAGTGAACATGGTGGCATAATGGCCTCTTCCTTATTGTTTTGATAAACACAATGCCCTGCTTTGTATAAAAATAATTAACTTTTGTGTCTCCTATGAGTGTGAAGTTATTTTGCATGGAGGAAAAACTAAAAAGCCACATCATTTAGTGTTTTCTTCTTCTAACTGATAAATTCCTTATGTGTAAATAATCCCAGATTCCCAGGTGCCTAAGTTCTATTTCTATATTCTATTCTAACTTAAATACAGACTAAAAGAGTGCCCATCAAACAGCACTTACATCATCCAGCAGCATATTGTTGCAGTAATAACCAAGGTTAAGTGAAATCTGCAACAGATTAAAACTAGATTAGATACCTGTCAACCAGAATGATATAAGGCTATAATGAAGCACCAACTCCGACACGGCATTTTCGATACGTTCTCGATACGACCGTTAATTCGTCGATACGATACAATTCGTTTCCGATACGTTTCCGATACGCGTATCATACGTTGGAAAAAAAAAATCGGAATATCGGTGCTTCATAGTAAGCATTGTACAGAGAACAGTAATACAGAAAGAAGACAAAAATATTCATTGGATTTGTGGTATGAGTGTGCCACAGTATGTGTATAAATTCTTTAGTGACAGCTTGAGTTACTAAACAAATCTGAATATTTTGCATTATAAGACACAAGTTGGCATGAACAGTTAATGAACATATCAATTATTAATAATAGAACAACAACGATAACGAAGATGTTGAAGAACATGTATATCAATTAAAGCAGGCATTCATAAAGAAAACAGCACATACATGAAGTAATGAATCCTACACAATTTTTGCAGATTTATATTTGAAGAAATGTTAGACAATTAGCATCTAGGAATCATTTTCCAAAATACTCGCCAATTAATTTTCTTCCGAGTGCATCAGTTATGTCTGACTACAAATGTCTTTATTTTAACGTTATGAAAGCCACCCTTAAACATAACCCAATTTGATAACGCAAAATCCTCTCTAAAGTTTAAAGTAGTAGCTGGGTGCACAATAGTAGAAAATCTAGGGAGCATGGACAATTCAAAATGGTCATCCTACGGTGTCAAACACGTACCGGTCTCATAAACTTCATGGATACTTTGGATACTCCTAACAACATTATTTTCTTAGCTTTTTTTTTCTTTTAACTTTTACAAAAATACAAATGAAAATACTATACTAAGTATATAACTGATAGTATTTTATTAACAAACGCTAACTTTTAAAACATTAATTCTCTCTTTCAATCAAAGATTGATGCTAATTTTATATGTTGTACCATATTCATGCCATGTCTTATAATTTCTATAATCTGTGGTATTCCAACTTCTCTAGATCATCCTTGAATTGTTCTGATCAAGATGTTGAGCTTTATACTCCCACTAAATGCAGCAATGAACTCATTTAAAACCAACGAAAAGTTAATCCAGCCAAATACCCTAACCAAATTCAAGATTTATACAGTTCAGAAACCCATAAGAATTACATGATATAGTACTCATGATTACACCCTACCATGAAAATTCTATAATCCAAACCTATTTAAAAAAACAGTTAAGAAAGGTTGTACTATACTCCAATTGAGTGCATAGTGCCTAATTCATCAAATGTAACAGCTATTGAGATTGCTCAGCCATCGGAATCGACACGTAGAGAACACGAAACAGAAATCAAATTGAAAGAGAATCAGAAGAACAAAAAAGGAAGATTAGAAGAAGCATACAGATTGGCAGAAGGTCCTCTATTGCAGCAAATTCTGGTGCAGAGGCACCCAATGATCCCAATCACTACGAAGATTAGCGTCGTCACCAAGAAACCCATACCGATTCGTTCCTTCCAGATCCTGATCAGAGAAAACGAATTCCTACGGGCAAAGTAAAAACAATAATTGGGGGGAGTTTGGTTGCTTAGAAAGTGAAGGAAAAAGAGAAAGAAAATGAAAAATAGAAAAAACGTTAGAATTATGTTACCTCTGAACTCTGAAGTAGAGATCTCAAGGTGCTATCGCTCGACCACCACCATGCGCATATAGCGAGACGCGTCGCCCATTTTTTGATTCAGAAACGAACTGGGCCCAGCCCATACTATTTTTGGGTTATTGGGCTCTACTTGTATTTACTTCCAGCCCATATCTAATTGGAAGTACTAGTACGTACTATCTTAGTTTTATTTATTTATTTATGAGAAAAGTGTTTGTCATTTTAAATGACATAAAGTTATATCATTTTAAGAAAGAGATAGCCACAAAATAAATTTATGTAAAATTTAAATTAAAAAAAAGCTATCCACTTTCTCTCTTCCATGATTTTCATTTTTTGTGTCTATCTCTCTTCTAAAATGACATAACTTATGTCATTTAAAATGACAAACACCAAATTCATTTTAGGAGAGAGATAGACACAAAAAATAGAAATCATGGGAGAGAGAATGTGGATGTTTTTTTTAATTTAAAATTTAAATAAAAAAATTTATTATGTGTCTATCTCTCTCTTAAAATGACATAACTTTATGTCATTTAAAATGACAAATATTTTTCTCATTATTTATTTATTTGTTTATTTTTCAGTAATTCATTGTGCTCATTACATTATATCCTGAAGTTTCGGTGATTAAATACTCCCATAGCAACTTAAAGAAGCATATTTCCCAAATCAATAGGGTGAGCACCTTAAATCAAGTCCAATTATTATTATTTTTATGAATTTAATTTTAATAATAAATTTTCAATGCAAAAAAATACATTTACATCTAATAATGTGTTACTTTATCATTTAATAATTTGTTTTAGGTATTTAATCCGGATATTAAACCCCGAACAATTGCTTTTTCCAAGGTTTGAAACTTTTATCCTTTCCTTAGAGTGGGACTCGCTTACCATAACACCAAACCCTTGCTAGTTATACTATCACTTAATACTACATCCAATTCTTGTTGGTTATGTTGCTCATATTTAGAGTACATAAGAATTTCCTTTAAACAAAAAAATAGACAAAAATAAAATAATAACGAAAATTCTCTCTAAAGTAAAGATATATATACCCTTAAATTTAAGTTAAATATTCGGATACACTTTAAACTAAATGAAGGGTACATACACCCTTACAAACTCAGTTTAAAGATAAGCTCATTTTAAAGGAGCCTTATTCAAAAAAATCGATACTCGTTAGCTCTAGGTGTTAGAATTGAAGCTTCATCAACATGTAAAATAACCTATTTATATATCCATTCCTTTGACAAAAAAATGCAGTTTTGGTCAGTCACAAGCAAGCTGTTCGTTATCCCTAACAATCTGAAACAGTAGTCATGACAATAGCCAACTTTTTGATGAAAGAAAGAGAGAAGGAAGAGATCATCACCAGAATGATACCCCAATCAAGCTTCAAGATAATTACACAGCTAACAGACACAATGAAAAGAGTAAAAGCACTAAGCAACTAAAAGAAGAGCTTTCGTGGGGATGCTCTAGATGCAACTGTTGATGGCAAGTTTGAGGACTTGAGGGGAGAGGGCGTTGCCTTGCTTTCTTGGTCCCCAGGTCCTCTTTCAAGCAGCTTTGCAGCCCTTGGATCTGTTAGCAGTGTCTTTTGGAAGGACTGTGAGAATCCAGTTGCAATTATAGTCACATGAATCTCCCCATTGTAGCGATCATCAACAACAGCTCCAAATATAATGTTGGCAGAAGGATCAGCTAAACTTGTCACGACCTATAAGAAATTATTAAGTTTTGAACAGAAACATATTTGCAACAAATTCACAAGATCAAAGTGAAAAGGGAATGATAAAATGTTCGTTCAACAAGTGCTGATAAAATTCTGAAGTAGTACCTGAGACACTCTATTTACTTCCTGCAGAGTTATGTCTTTTCCTCCAGTAATATTATACACTACCCCGGTAGCTGACTGAATAGATGATCCAATTAAAGGAGCCAATGTAGCCTGTTCAGCAGCTTCTTCTGCGCGGTTTTTACTGGAGGAAACACCTACTCCAAGCATTGCAGTTCCAGAGTCTTTCATTACAGCTTTTACATCAGCAAAATCCACATTTACAAGCCCAGGTATCTGTAAAATGACACCACGGTTAGGGGTGTAAATGGGCTAGGCCGGCCTACAAGGGCCTGTGGCCTAGCTTATATTAGGTCAGACTTGGTCTATTACAAATAGTCAAACAGAACAGGCCTAGGCTTTTCAAAAAACCTATTTAAAAAGTAAGCCATAGGCTTTTTTGTACATGTCGAGTCTATAAGCCTACAGGCCGGCCTATATCATATTATTTGTTTTTTTTTGTAGGTAGGTATATTATTTGTTTTAAATAAAATAAATAAAATCATTATTTTAATAATTTTGAATAATAAAGTAATATTATTTTAGTTATTTTTTTAATTATTGAACGTTTAATAAGCTTAAACAGGCTAACACGCCTAAGTCTAGGCCAAGACTTTTATATTTTAAATATAGGTCAGGCCAGACTTGTAATTTAGGCCTACACAAGCTAGCAGGCCTGGCCTAACCGATTTAAGTCAAAGTCTACACTAGCCTAGTCTTTTAACATCCCTAACCACAGTGCATATCATCCTAAATTCCTTAATAAGCTGCAATCAACATGTACTTGACATTTAATAAATGTCCAATTATAATGGGGTAGCAATCACTCAAATGACTTGGGAGAAAGGACGCGAAGAATGATTCAGCCCTTTAATGTTCCCTCTTTCTCTTTGCAATCTACAAATCTGGGAAATATGAATAAGATGTTAATCAACTCACTGTTATGATGTCTGATATTCCCTGTACTCCTTGTCGTAGAACATCATCTGCCAGAAGGAAAGCATCCTGAAGAGGTGTCTGCTCATCAGCCAAGTCAAGTAGACGATCATTCGGAATCACTATAAGTGTATCCACATTTTTCTGCAGCTTTTCAATGGCTTCCAATGCCTAAAAGGATGACATCTAAATTTTAACCTCTCATCCTAAGAGCAACACAATATCTTGGAAGAAACAAAAAAATAAACATCAAGCAATTTATGAAATACACAATCATAGTTCAGCCATAACTAATATGGTCATAACTCATGATTCATGGTCAACTACAAATGGGTAGGAATGAAAAAAAAAAAAAAATTCTTGAGTATACTAAAAAAAGCAGCTTTAAGTAACACTAGAAATAGCTTCTATATAATGTACTAGTCATATAACATTTTCACAACTAAGGAAAGAAATGACACCTGCCTGCAAGGATCTTTTGCGTCCTTCAAAACTGAAGGGATAAGTAACAACACCCACAGTCAAGTAACCTGCCTCTTTAGATATTCGGGACACAACTGGGGCAGCACCGGATCCTGTGCCCCCACCCATGCCAGCAGTTACAAACACTAAATCTGAGCCTTTAAGAGCATTAGCAATAGCTTCTTTTGATTCCTCAGCTGCTTGTTCCCCCAAAAGTGGATTCCCACCAGTACCTGCATCTCAATCAAGCAATTCAAATCAAAGGCCGCATTGGAGTGAGACTACTACACACACAAATCACATGATAGTCAAAATATATGCAAGTTCCCATTGATCACAAAGGAATCTCCTAGGCATAGAAGGCAAGTGCTTGACCTAATCCACGAGTCAGAAGTTCTCCAATTTTGATAGGGTTCTCAGCAGCAGAATTCAACAGAGCTTGAGCATCGGTATTTATAGCATAAAAGTCAACACCCTGATTTTAAAAAAGAAAAAGAAAAAAAATAAAATGTAGCAGTATTCAACCTTAGCAATTACTTAAGTTGCAGTGTAGCAGCAAAACATCAATGATAACTTAGTGAAAAGTTACACGCTGTCTTCATGAAATTGGCATGAATACAAAAATTGCAATCACAATAAAAACACCTCAAACCCACTGAAGTTACCACAGTAGCACATGATTCGTAAATAAGAAGAAAAAAAAATGAACCATTAACAGATATAACTAAATGGCTTCAAAAAATTATTAAAATAAAACAACTTTTATCAGAAATTACAAAAAGAGAAAGGAAGAACCCACGTGCAATCCGCAACCAATCATGCGGTTAACGGCATTGTTACCACCGCCACCGACGCCAACAACCTTAATTTTGGCGTGGTCCACGGACGTGAAGGAGCAAGTCACGGGCCGGAAACGACGTCGCAAGGGCTCGGAAGCGCTTGTTCTTGTTCCAGGGTTCAGAGAAACGCAGTTTCTGAGAGTGAAGGAGGAGCAAGACAACACATTGTGGCAAATATGAGTGGGAATGGAAGAGGATGAGAGTAGCTCATTGGGGTTTGTGAGTGGAAGGATTACCATTTTTCCGTTCTAGGTTTTAGGATTTTTTGAATGGGAAAAGGTGAGAAGAATTGGAGATTTAGGGTTGTAGTGAAATTTGAAATTCGCAATCAATTTTCATGTTCAAGTTCATTTCCCTTGAGAAAATTGGATTTGGACTGAAAACATAGCAGAAAGGTTGTGGAATCTTTCGAAAATTCTTTGCGCTTCTTGCATTTTCTTTTTCTTTTCTTTTTTAAATTACAACAGCAATCAAAAGTTAAAAACCGAAATTATTAAACCATGCAAAATTGCAAACTAATTTTTTTTAGAGGTGATAGTTATTATCTCTTTTTCTTATTATTTTTTATGAGATATGATATTGTGACACTCAAGTTATGTTACACCCATGTGACACTCAGTCAATCTCACTGTTAGATCGCTTATGTTGATCCAACGGTTATATTTATTTCCATCTTTGTATGGTCATGATTTCTCAAATTTAATATTTTATATTTATTTCTACCTTTGTATGGTTATGATTTCCCATATTTAATGCTTTCCTTTAAATTTGGGAAATCATGACCATACAAAGATGGAAATAAATATAATCGTTGGATCAACATAAGCGATCTAACGGTGAGATTGACTGGGTGTCATATGGGTGTAACATAACTTGGGTGTCACAATATCCTATCCCATTTATTATTACTAAATTTTAATCGTTGATTTTCGTTAATCTAACAATGGTAATTTATTGGGTCATACTTATTAATTAATTATTAATTTTCAATAAAGTATAACCGTTAGATTAGCGAAAATCAACGATTAACATTTGATAGTAAGAGGTAGTAAGAAAAAGATGTAGTAAGTATAACCTCTCTCATTTTTTTAAGGTGAAATAATTGAAAGGAATTAAGTGCCAAATTGCATTTTTTATTTTATCTCCTACACACAGTGTTTTAAAATTTTGCCCCACTCCGGAGTCGACCCCGCTAGATCACTGAGCCCCTCCTCTGAAAGTTTGGGTTAGCAATTAAACTCAACTTGCACGTTAACCCCTTTAACCCCCGAAACACCCCGGTTGAACTCATGACTCACGTGTCAAAGGGGTAAAAGAATTCACTGCAATTATAAAAAAAAATTATACACGAAATAACGTCGTTTAATGTGTAAACAAACAAAAAAACAAAACAAAATAAAAACTCGCTACTGCCTATATTTAGAACTAGATCTTAAATCTGAATTATACTTCTTCTTTTCTTTCGATCTTCTCTCCCAGACCCAGTCTGCCTGATCTGGTGATCTCTTTCACTGTGCTAGGTCTTCTCTCCCCACTATTTATTTTTCGTTAAGGGTGAAACTGGGTCGGGCCGGCCTATAGGGGCCTACGACTCGGTCTACGTTAGGCCAGACCTGACATAATCTATTTCATAAAATAGGCCGGGTTTGGGCCTTAAAAAAGCTTGTTTAATAAAAAGGCCATAAACCCACTTTCACAAGGCCTGACCTATAAGCCTACAGGCCGGCCTATATTGTACTATTTATTTTAAATATAATAAAATAGAATAAGTATGCCTTGAAGAAAAAATAAAAGATATAAATTTAATCAATTACAATTATTTATAACTTAATTATATTTGATTATATTTCAATAGAAATCTGACTTTATTTCTTATGCAAAAGGAACCAACATCTCAATATGTTAGATTGTGTATATGAATATATTAAAATATTTTTGGGAGAGGTTATACTTACTACAAGCATCATGATGTGTTTGTTGAATTCATGTAGTTATTTTAATTTACATAGTATGTATTCGTTTGTTGGATCTGACGAAATATATGTTATTTACTTTGAGCATTTTGCTTTTGAAAATGACTTAAATGCAGATTGTATGAGTTTTGTTGTGATTCATGATTCTGTTTGGACGTTGAAATTATGATTTTTGGTTTAATAACAGAATTTGAGTATTTTATAAAGTTGATTCATTATTCTGCTTGGAAGTTAAAAATTAACAGGCTCACGGGCTAGGTCAGGCCATTTATTTTTTTTTATAAACGGGCCAAGTCAGGCTAATAGTTAGACTCAAACTAGGCTTGGGCTAGGTCAAATTGAAAAAATTTGGCGTAGGCTTAGGCTGTTCAGGGCAAAGTTTGGCCCAGCCTGAAAGAAAAATGGCCTTGAAGGCCGTAGGCATGTGAGGATGAAAACAAAATTTTCAAAGCGAAATTACACATACCATATCAAGAAACATGCTTTAGGACATGGATGTTACATTGTTTGCTTTCCAAAACTTGAAGATGATCAAGGTGAGGCTTGAAGATACAAGCCCTCTAATGTTGATGCAACCACCCTTTGTCAAGACGGAAGAACCCTTCTTCAAGGCTACCAACGAACACCAAGGGAGGCAAGCTAGGCGTCCCTTATGGAGAGGACGGAGGCAAGGTTTCAAGGTGTTTAGTTGAGTGAATTTTCAGCAAGAAAAAACAGAAAAGTGGCGCATGGAATTCACTTAGAAAGTGCTAGGTAATTTTCAAAACTCTCTTAAGAAAAACCTCACAAAAGGATGACCAAAGGAGATGAGAGAATGAGTGAATAAAAATCTAATTTCTTCACTAAAAACTCAGCCCTATGTAGCGCACACTAGAAGAGGAATGAGTGGAGTTGTTGCAAATCAAATCTTGCCAACAACCTCCTATCATATCCTCATGATATCAAGTGCATATCTCAACAAAAATCTGACTTAACAACCATCATATGGCTAGCCATATGGTGCGCCCCATTCAGCCTCAAAACAGTCCAGATACGTTGAGCAGTTGCATTCAAACTTGAACCAACTCACTCACTTATTCTCTCAATAAACCAAATCTGATTGGAGCTCATTTGGTTGATCTTATGACCATCACAAGACCCCAAAATCAGCCTTGGATGATGCTCAAAGATCTCCTCTTGATACTTGGGATTTGTTCCAACAAGATCTTACCTTATCCTTTTCTTATGAAACAACTTTTCATAGCCAATTCAAATTCAAATTCAAACATTTAAATTCAAGTGTTCAAACATTTAAATTCTAAATTCAAAATTCAAATTCAAATTTCAAATTTCAAATTTCAAAATTCAAAATTTAAATATTTGATAATTAATTTAACTAATTAAATTAATTAGTAATGTCTTGGACCATCCAAGCCCATTACATGATCCATGCGCCCTTTTCCCTTTTGGTGGGCTTCCAAACTTCTTCTTGGGCTAACAACCATTATTAGGCTCAATACCTCTAATGTTATATTATCATGACAATAAGGTGTTAGTGTGTGACCCATTAGGCCCAACATAACCACTGACATAAATGGGCTTGGGCCCGACAAGCCCACAACCCATCTAATGACAACACAGAGCACTAGCAATGCTTTGTTGCCCCAGAGCTAGTTAGGTTAATGACATAATCATCTTATTACACATATTTGGTTGCCGTATGTATTTCTTTTCGTCTCGGTTAAATTCCCATTAAACCTAGGGTAAGGAAATGTATCAACCCTTGCGGATTAGGGTAAGCTTTATTCGAAATAGAAAATCTTCAATTTACTGACTCTAAAGGAAGATCATCTCATGATCTCTTTTACTATGCATAGATTCCTGAGTCCTAGTAAATGTCATCCCGATTTCTCTGGTTTACAAATAACCTAATCTCTCACAGAGATTTGACGAATTCCTTCAGCTTATCACCCTAGCCCTATGCTCTTTCAGGACAAGCCCAATAGTGTACCTATGATTCTCCATGTTTCAGGCAGACGAGGTATACAATCAAAGCATGCCTTCTAGAACACAGTCTAGGTAATAACTTCTGGTCTAAGGAAAGACATACCTAAATATAAAGAGACTACTCTAATGATACTATCTGTGAGATTTCTCATAGAGTCTCTTTGTGGGTCTGTTCAGTGCGAGCTATACCCTTATAGGTCCACCCACGACTTTAGCTAAGACATCTCCATATCTGTAGCACATGAGGTTTTTACCTTGTATCCAAATACAAGTAGATAAGTCGTGTTAATCTTACCCGAGATCATTGATCCTCATTCTCAATGTCTTTAGACTAGGAACATAAAATTAGGAATAAACATGAGGTATCCTTGAATCCTCATTATCGTGATCTCATCACAGATACTCAACAGATACATGTTCTATTCCAAGGGGTTTATCCAGTTACTCATATAAAATATTAACAATAATGTTGAGACAAAATATGAAACAGGATAAAAAGTGCTTTTATTTATTTGCGACAATATAAAAGGTCCACATATGTCCTAATCTAATCAAAAGATTGTCTCTAGGACATCCATATACTAACACAGCCTAGCCCACTTTCACCCCTATTTGTCGTGTCGCCGCCTCTCCTCCACTATTCTCTATTGGGTAAAGGGATCTCCTTTCACATACTATTGTAGATGCATGAAAAGGACAAGAAGAGCCTAAGTTTGATAATATAACTTTTCATTAACTCCATTGGAATATATGTTTTATACTTTGATAGTTTGATACATTGATTAGCTTGTGAATATTGACTTGTTAATGTAATTGGTTGAATTATGTTAAGTATATTTTGAATTTTTAATGATTGGTGGTTTGATTTCTTTAAATTTTTCATATAGGATTTATATTTATATTTTTTTAATGTATAAAATCAGGTCAACGAAGTGACCCCGTGACCTCCCGCTTGAACCCATAACCACGTGACCTCTAACCTCAGCCGAGTCAACGGTTGAGCCAGATTTTTAAACACTGCCTACACATATAAAGGTATATGGGCTTTTTCTCTCTCTCTCTTCTTTTTATATGGTCTCACATATTTTTATGTGTACGTAGGAGATAATTTTATCTCCTATAATATGAGATATATTAATTTCTTTATTTAAATTTTAAAGTATTATAAACATTAGTCATTAGTGTATAAGCTTTTTTATCAGGGAGAATTTCCTATATATTTTTGGTAAGGAATTTTTTTCCCCTTCTAAAAGCACATTCCACCATTAATGCATTAAATAAAGAAAAAAGTATTTGTTATTTTAAATAACATAACACTATTTTTTTTTAAGTGAAGCTACAACGTTTTAGCTAAACGGAACTTCTTTGCATTTTTTTATTTTTTTTTATTTCCTATAAAGAAAAAACTCACTCCTTCATTTTTATGTTTATGCAATTGTTGTGGGTAAAAAAATTAATATATTAT